CACAAATTATTACTAGAATTGATCTTTGGACTATCCAATGGATTAAATATCATATTCTTCTCTCATATATTATTACTTACACTCAAATCTAGGTGAGTCTTGATCACTCTTGTAGGTTTAGGTCACAGATTATATGTCTGAGTCTTTATTCTTTATATGTAATTTAAAAGTAAGCTTTTCTTTGTAAAAATTTCAATTGAATTTCAATAAAGTTAAAGACATGGCCTCACCATTAATATAAAAAAAAAAAAAAAATTTTATATATTGTATTATACATGACACATTACTAAGCTTGCCATTTTACAATAAATTTTAATATTTTATTTTCTTATATATATAGTTAAATCTATCCTATTTATAACTTAACAACAGCCCATTAGTATAAGTAACAGGTTACATACTAGTAAAATTTAAAATTTTGGTAAGTTGAACTTAAAAATTCAAGTCAGGTTCAGTTTAGGTTGAAGTGTTAACCAAAAGTTTTTAACCCAACCTGAACTGAAATTTCAGGTCAAGCTCAGATTGGCCTATAACCTGACCCAAACTAACTATTTGGAGCACTAGTAATCTATACATAATTTACTAATGTTAGAGGGAAATCTGATTAAAGCCATTGCATAACAATTATAGAAAACATAACCAAAAACATGACCAAAATCGTAATCTGGATCATGACCCAAAATTAATGATCATGTAACCTAATTTCTCCCCATTCTATGCAAGAGAAGCCCCAAGATTCGGAACAAGGCACCCACAATTATAAGCCTGGGCCCCATATGTGACAATTATCGCTAACCTAAAAAAGGAAGAAAGACTTAGTAGAACCACCATGACATGCAACAAGAAACAGATGTGATACTTACTTTCATGGGTTTACAACAGAGCCTTTAACTCGCAAAGATGTTTAGGGAGATACAGCTGTAGCTCTATTAGTGGGACCTACAAAAGAGAAGGTAATTAAAAGATGGAATCATGAGTCAAAAGGTGGAATTGTACAAATAACAGAAAAAGAAACATTAATGCAAGAAAGGGAGAATGATCTCAAGCATACTTCCCTTATAAAAGTCCTCCATTTTGATGTTAAGTGGGATATGACCCCCCGGCCCCCACTACTCCTGTAACTTAAAGGAAACTATAATAAATTAATAATAAATAAAAATAGTTATAAATTATAAAAAGTGTCAAGAGTGAACTAGACATAAACGTTCTTTTGAAAAGGTCCCTATACTTACCCAGTAACTTACTCGAGAGCCGCCTTAAGCCATTGCCAAATCGTATCGCCTCATTTTGCTTTCGAGTAACGTTACGCGACGTCGACGATTTTGAAGCGACAATTCGTCGCAGTTGCTCCATCCTTGATCGCCCTTAATTCCCTGTGACACTAGTTAATTGGTCGGTTATAACCATGGTCAGTCGGTCATTGAGAAATAACCGGGTGGTTATTGACTGTGACTGACCGTTGGCATCCCTAGTTGTTAAGTATATATTCGTATTTTGAAGTTGTTGTATAAAAAACAAGTTTAAATAAACCTGAATTAGATTTACTTGAACACAGATTGAATTCAAATTATGTTTATTTAAACTCAAATTAGATTCACTTGAGCTTGTTTAAATTCAGATTAGGTACAAACAAACCTGGATTAGGTTCAAATAAAACTACCTTGAATTTATTTGAACCCAGATTAGGTTTATTTAAATGGATTTACTAATTTCAGAATTATTCGCACCAAATTACATGTCATGTTATCCTTAAAAGGTTAAGGTCAATGTCAGAATTAATAGACGATTTTGAAGCAAAATTTTGCAATGGATTTTTTGTTTTTTTAGTATGCAAAAGGCGATTTCTTAGGCGAAATTTTGAGATAAATGTGTCTTTTGAAAAACAAGCGATTGTTTTTTTAATTTTTATGTTACACCAGATCTTGCGATTTACTCACGATCATGGGGAAATTAGTGAACCCCAGGAAAAATTATGCTGATCGATATTTAAAGCACTAAATGTATTATGCTGCATACTATATATCATCAGATTTTAACTGTATTTGTAGCTATGAAAATAGATTTTTAAATGATGTAGCCTATATATTCTAAAACTACACTTTATGATTTATAACATATCAAATTAATCTGTGAAATGGGTAGGAAAATATGTGCAGATTTATTTTTTAAGAAAAATTTCACATGACATAACACTAAGAAAAAAAGGTAAATAAAACCCAAATATGACAGAAATTTTTGGGGCAAGCTCAGATAGAACTGAACGCGCAACGCAGCGCTTCTCAAGATAGTACTGATAAGATTTTTATATTAATATCTATTCTGTTTAATCATAAAGGAAATGTGGCGGATCGCAAAGGCCAATATGATTAAATACACGTGTACAATTATACATATATATGGAAATGATCAGAGATATTCGACAAAAAAGATAAAGAAGGGGTATAATTAGATTATTAAAGAAACATACAATTTATAGCTGCATATCTAGGTTGCTATTAATAAATTTTAGTACGTAGTATTTTTATTAGATAATATGCGATCAATGACATTGTGTCGCGTACCCTCATCAAATAAGGAGTCTGAAACATAATTTTACTAATAAACAAAGAACGTGGGTAGCCTAAAAAAATGAATTCATTGAAAATAGATAGAGTTACTAAATTTCGCTTTGATATTTTTATACGTACAATATTCGTACAGTAATCTATGTAACACAGGTATAACTTAAAATTTTACTAATAAAAAAATCTCCGTAAAATTTTAATATAAACTATATCCTAATCCAAACCTTATCTGATTTTAAACAAATTAATTTTGGTTTCACGGATTTACAAATTATACTAGTGTGTACATACATTAGTGTATGTTTAAAATTTTCTACCCTAAATTTATTTATTATTCATATATTAAACAAAACGTAAATGAATTAACGTTGCTGAAAGCTAACATTAATTTCATGCTTAATTATTCAACAAACAAAAGTTAATAATATTGGCTTCTGATACTTCAAGTTTATTTACTTCTGATGACCTGCCCATGCTCACAAAGCAAAATATTCATTTCGAATGGGAGATGAAAATCCCTGCTTTAAAACGCGTTCTTTTGATGTCCCTTGGAGTTCCCTATAGATTTGTAGTAAATTTCGTTGAGATCTTTACTCAAATCAATAACTCTAGTTCACAGTATAAATCTTATTATACTGCCGAGTTAGGATCGCGTGCTTTTCGATATTTTAATGAACTCGTCCGGAATGTTGAAAATTGGGGAGGATGGGTCCGTCAAAGCATCGTAAATTTAACTAAATCACGAAAAATTTATCTTGTGGCGACGGCTACCCAATCTTGGAGGGACGAATCGATAAAGATTCAAGATGATGCAATATGGATACATGCCGACCAAAGCTATTTTGGTGGCTTTAATTCTGTTGGTTATGATATCGTCAATATCATTGAAGACATTATCAATCCTTCTCCTCATATTCTAGTAATTCTAGAAGGAGAAAGAAAAAGAAAAAATGTATGCTGTGAATGTTTGGAATTGTATTCATCGCATCTCCAATGGTGTAGATGTTGCAATTCCAAACACTTCAAAGAACAATTTAGTAATTGGACAAGCACTAATTGTGTAGTAGATAGTTTTCTCCGAGATACACAGATTAATGCCTGCGATGCTAGTAATTCCCTTGAATGGATCGATTATAGTCGATTCACAAATGTGACGATTATTGGCGGTGGTGGTTACGGGACAATTCACAAGGCATATTACTTGGTAATGATTTTTTCAATACAACTTTGCTGTTTACTTGATAAGAAACTTTGGCTTTCACCGATTGTATCACAGATGATGCAATTCACTGATTGGCAGTGTTGGCAACTGGGCATAGTCCAAATGCCAACACTGCTGATTGGTCAGGAGGATTAGCCAATAGAATGGTTAGATTCATGATTATCTGAATTTCACGATAATATGAGAGTGCGGGATTCACCCTGTCGTATACTAATAATGTATTAATATAATTGTATTCATTTTACATTATATCTAATTGTTCAGGATGGGGATATAAGGAGATGGGATCATAAGAAACATTGCTGGGAGAGATACCCCGGGTTTTCTGTAGCCCTGAAAGTGCTACACAATTCTCAAACTATTTCTGTGGAGTTTATGAATGAGGTATGTATTTCATATTACTAGAGATGGGACACTGCGCAGGCGGAATTTTTGGAAGCCCGGAATTTTTCGTAATGTCGCAGAATTTAACAATTTTGGCCCGCATTAGCCGTAATGCAGGCCCGTGCAGGCTGCGCAGTAGATTCGAAAAATCCTCGATATTCCCATCTCTACATATTACTGTACAATTCTTCAATTCAGAATACAAATATAAATAATAAATGTTTGATTTGATCGTCTATTAAATTCAGCTGAAGGCAATGCATAAATGCACGGCTGGGAAGCTCACAAACATCGTCGCTATATATGGGATAACCCAAAACCCATATACAAAAGAATTTATGATGGTAATGGCATGAAAAGAAGTTATTAGACATAATTGTGTTTTTTATACATCTAATACATGTTTATCCACATCACAGGTAATGGAGTACATGAATAAGGGTAATATGCGTGATTACCTTCGCAGCAACTCCAATTTAAATTGGAGTAGGCGATTGAAGATTGTGTTGGAAATTGCCACTGGTCTCATGAACATCCATACTAACGGCCTGATTCATGGAGATTTTCACAGTAAAAATTTACTCTTTGAAGATACTTCAGGAGATACGGCCTTTATTGGCGATCTTGGACTGTGTCATCTATCCAGTGTTGTTGCAAATGAAATTTTTGGTGTCTTGCCATATATGGCACCTGAAGTTTTACGTTCAAAATTATATACCAAAGCTGCGGATATATACAGCTTTGGTATGTTAATGTGGGAAGTGGCAACTGGCAAACCTCCATTTTATGATCGCGCACATGATGCGGATCTTTTTTTTGATGTCCTAGGAGGACATCGCCCTCCACTTCAGGATGAAATTCCGAAGTGTTATAAAAATTTGATAAAGTGGTGCTGGGATCCCGATCCTCATAAACGCCCTTCTGCTGAAGAGATACGAAATATTGTTGAAAATTGGTACTGCGATAAATCGCAATCTACTTTTTCGGTCGCAGATAAAGAAATCACAAATCGCGATCCTCATCCTAGTGTAATTTATGCAAGCCAATCTCTTAGCGAATACATCAACGAAGATTTAATCTCCTCGAAACAATTGGAATTATCAATTT